TAGCTTCTTGTTACTACTAGTAAGGCACTTGTTACTAGAAGCGATGCACTTGTTACTAGTAGCGAACATTGTTTCTACTAGCTTCTTGTTACTACTAGCAAGGCACTTGTTACTAGAAGCGATGCACTTGTTACTAGTAGCGAACATTGTTTCTACTAGCTTCTTGTTACTACTAGTAAGGCACTTGTTACTACTAGTAAGGCACTTGTTACTAGAAGCGATGCACTTGTTACTAGTAGCGAACATTGTTTCTACTAGCTTCTTGTTACTACTGGTTACCAGAAGCGATGCACTTGTTACTAGTAGCGAACATTGTTTCTACTAGCTTCTTGTTACTACTAGTAAGGCACTTGTTTCTAGAAGCGATGCACTTGTTACTAGTAGCGAACAGTGTTTCTACTAGCCTCTTGTTACTACTAGTAAGGCACTTGTCACTAGAAGCGAGGCACTTGTTACTGGTAGCAAACATTGTTTCTACTAGCTTCTTGTTACTACTAGTAAGGCACTTGTTACTAGAAGCGATGCACTTGTTACTAGTAGCGAACATTGTTACTACTAGTAAGGCACTTGTTACTAGAAGCGATGCACTTGTTACTAGTAGCGAACATTGCTTCTACAAGCTTCTTGTTACTACTAGTAAGGCACTTGTTACTAGAAGCGATGTACTTGTTACTAGTAGCGAACATTGTTTCTACTAGCTTCTTGTTACTACTAGTAAGGAACTTGTTACTAGAAGCGATGCACTTGTTACTAGTAGCGAACCTTGTTGCAACTAGTAAGGCACTTGTCACTATAAGCGATGCACTTGTTACTAGTAGCGAACATTGTTTCTACAAGCTCTGGTTACTACTAGTAAGGCACTTGTTACTAGAAGCGATGCACTTGTTACTAGTAGCGAACATTGTTTCTGCTAGCTTCTTGTTACTACTAGTAAGGCACTTGTTACTAGAAGCGATGCACTTGTTACTAGTAGCGAACCCTGTTACTACTAGTAAGGCACTTGTTACTAGAAACGATGCACTTGTTACTAGTGGCGAACCTTGTTACTACTAGTAAGGCACTTGTTACTAGAAGCGATGCCCTTGTTACCAGAAGCGATGCACTTGTTACTAGTAGCGAACCTTGTTACTACTAGTAAGGCACTTGTTACTAGAAACAATGAACTTGTTACTAGTGGCGAACCTTGTTACTACTAGTAAGGCACTTGTTACTAGAAGCGATGCCCTTGTTACCAGAAGCGATGCACTTGTTACTAGTAGCGAACCTTGTTACTACTAGTAAGGCACTTGTTACTAGAAACAATGAACTTGTTACTAGTGGCGAACCTTGTTACTACTAGTAAGGCACTTGTTACTAGAAGCGATGCCCTTGTTACCAGAAGCGATGCACTTGTTACTAGTAGCGAACCTTGTTACTACTAGTAAGGCACTTGTTACTAGAAACAATGAACTTGTTACTAGTGGCGAACCTTGTTACTACTAGTAAGGCACTTGTTACTAGAAGCGATGCCCTTGTTACCAGAAGCGATGCACTTGTTACTAGTAGCGAACCTTGTTACTACTAGTAAGGCACTTGTTACTAGAAACAATGAACTTGTTACTAGTGGCGAACCTTGTTACTACTAGTAAGGCACTTGTTACTAGAAGCGATGCCCTTGTTACCAGAAGCGATGCACTTGTTACTAGTAGCGAACCTTGTTACTACTAGTAAGGCACTTGTTACTAGAAACAATGAACTTGTTACTAGTGGCGAACCTTGTTACTACTAGTAAGGCACTTGTTACTAGAAGCGATGCCCTTGTTACTAGTAGCGAACATTGTTTCTACTAGCTTCTTGTTACTACTAGTAAGGCACTTGTTACTAGAAGCGATGCACTTGTTACTAGTAGCGAACATTGTTACTACTAGTAAGGCACTTGTTACTAGAAGCGATGCACTTGTTACTAGTAGCGAACCTTGTTACTACTAGTAAGGCACTTGTTGCTCTTAGTAAGGCACTTGTTTCTAGTAGTGAACCTTGTTACTACTAGTAAGGCACGTGTTACTAGAAGCGATGCACTTGTTACTAGTAGCGAACCTTGTTTCTATGATGTATTTTTCTCTCCTTGGGCTTGTGGAACATGTCGTAGGAGCTCTGCAAGACTCGATCGGCAATATACCGCAAGCGCGTTTGAGATTGTTTGAAGAGGTCTTGAGAGGCAGCGCACTTGGAAAAGAAATCAACGTAGATGGTATTCCGGAAGTGCTCCAACTGCTCTTCCCCTAAGACCGAGAAGAGATGTGCGTTGTAAGGTTTGAAAGCTCGAGCTTTCATGGTTGCCTCCTGGAGATTCTGGGAGATCGTGGCCCATAACCATTCCCAAGCTGTCTCATGGGCTGTGCTCCAGGTCTTAGGGAGCAAAGACCGGAGGGCAGCCATCATCACAGGCTTAAACCTCTCAAAATCGATATCTTTGGACTTGGTGATCATGCTGATTGCCAACAGTTCGCACTCTTCTTGCAACAATGAGGGGCTGGAAATCTTCTCCACTAAGACTTCAAAAACTTGTAGGAGCTCTTCCATCCAAGCCTCCGTCTCTTGTCCCATGACTTCATTGCTGAAGGCACACATCTTGGGGAAGCTTCGTACAACGGTCTCATCCTCGTCCTCTGCATTGGTCTGAACTGAATTCCAATCCTCATGAATCACACGAAGCCGTTCTCCATAGCTGGCACTGACAAAACTGTAGGAGGACCCCGTGTAGCTTAGAAGTTGACGCCATGCAGCCACACTGCCGGGTGGGGCTTCGGGCACATTCTGCTGAAGTAGTTCGGAGAAGGCATCCTTGAAGGAGTCCACACGAGCTTCCGTGACGTCGATGCCCAAATGTTTGAAGGCCAAGCCCTCGACATAACCTCAGCACATGTTTGTCGCTCTTTATTTCTCATCTTTGACATCCTTGCTTCATCTTGCTTCTGCTTTAACCATCAAACAAACCCTTATCTGTTTGCAAGTTTCGTGACACCACGAAGTTGTGAGAAAACAGTTTTATGTATTTTATGTTGGAAACACCCAATCGTTTTCCAGGAGCGACATAATTAAGAGGAGTGCTGTTTTTGTTGATGCTTTTGAAACAGCACTGAGCAACTCTTCAAGAGCTCTTGATCATCACACTTGTCCACCATCCATCGAAAGCTATTGTACATGCGCATGGACATGACAGAGCGTGGTGTCGAGAATTTGTCCTTGATGGCCACCAGGGCTCCAAGAAGAACCCCATAGATAGCATCACCTGAGCATCTCCGCTGTCAGAATCCGATGGAAAAACACAAACGACATACATGAAGAATATCACTATCAAGAAAAAACAGAACAACCTGGTCAAAACTAACTCCTTTTGTGGTTCAGCCAGCCCAAATTTGCTGAAGCGGTTGGACACACTCAACATTGATTCAGCAGCTCCAGTCACTAATTGAATGGTTTGCGTTTGCGTCTACTGCGGCTTTGCTGAAGTGGATGTTGGGTTTGACTCAGCAATGGGGCATCCAGCTTGAATGCCCTACCAGGGTAAAAGGTTCGTCTAAATATAGAAAGGGGCTGGCTCCAAGAAAAGTTCAATGTGTGTGGAGGACCTCGTCTAGTAACCTCTTCCATGGCCAGCCGGCCCAGCCTCATCCAGCCTCTACTCACCTACTTGAGTCTCTCTAATCGAGCCAAATCACCTACCATCTCCTTGTCGGTTCCAAGAGCAGCCGTCAACAATTCAAAGGATTTTCGTAGAACAACGATTTCCGGTTGAGACAACTGCAAAAGACCCATCGACTCACCAAAGGCATGACTCTCATTGAAGACCTCAAGTGCTTTGTTCTTCTCGGCGACGTCACTGCCCATCTCATCCTCGATGTCGTTGATCCAATCCGTCTCCGCGCGAATGATTTCCGCCGGGTCCGTCTTGCGCTCTTCGACCTCTGAGGCATCGGAGGCATCATCCGCTTCGGACCTGTCCATGACGAGGCGCGAGGCGCGAGGCTGCGCCGATGGTGCTTCACACGCGAGCCAAACGCTGGGAGCGAGCAGGAGCGAGCAGGAGTCTGTCGCAGATTTGGGACAGAATGACCTGTCTCGTGAGTTCAGTGACGCAGTGGGCCCTGGCCAAAAGCGTGTCCGAAGAAAACAAAAAACGACCATAGCGAGTCACATTCAAAAGCGACGCTCAATCGACATCCCCCCATAATCGCGCTCTAGATTCGTCCAAATGGGCATTTATGCTCTTGTTCAAGAACGACTTCCGACCTCGTCCCCAATCTTTCATTGCAAGAAAGCTGCTCCTCGCCTATGCAAAACCAGCATCATCTTTCAACCGCATGTCCTTCCTAAGCAAAAGCTCAACTTGCGTCAACTTCAATTCTTGGATCAGGGAAGCCGACGTTGTTGGGAATAAGGTTGCAATCTGAGTTTGGGCATCTAGTTCAACTTCTCCAAGACCTTTACACCCTCCTCTTTCCTTTATCTCTTTGTTCTTTCCTTCAGTCCTTCATCTCTTTGTTCCTTCAGCTCTTTGTTCTTTTCTTTCTGCGTTTCTTTGTTTCTTCCTTCCCGGCACAACGACCATGTTCTCTTGAAACATGCTGTGTTCTTCCAAGAAATGGCCGCTCCCGAGGCCATCGGGGGCGTTCTGAGCGACGCTACTTGCACAAGCCGACGGCCAGCCAAGAACAATATCTCACGCAAGCAGCGGTCTTCATTGGCTGTACATAAAATATATGGTCCGTATGACTTGTGAAGACTAGGCTCTGGAACTTCCTCCCAGCTGCAAGCTGAGCAAGCTGAGGCGACTCGTCGATGTGGTGGTCGTCCCTTCAGTCCCTTCCTGGCGTCGCGGCGACGGGGGACCTTCATGCGGAGCTGAAGAAATGCTCCGAGAGGTGTACCATGCTGTGGATTTCGGGAGAGATGAGAATCAAGTTGCTTTGAACGCGATTGAAACTCTGAAACCAAAAGTTGAGTCTGACATTGAGATCCCAACTTTCAGGTGGTTAACTATCCAAGTAATGAAGCAAACACTCAAGGTGCGTTGTACCCTTTCTGCGGGGGCACATGAAACAACTTGATGTCGTCTGAGCGTGTCTCATCAACAGTCCACTGATAGGCAGCCCTTTTCGGTTGGAAGGTGGCAGCCGATTTCGAGACAAAAACAAGTGACAACGTAACTACTTCAACTAAGTCTGGTATCCCCCAAGGGCCCAAGGGGCACTCGACTCCAGACTGAAACAAGTAGCTACTTGTTACTACTAGCAGTAAGGCACTTGTTACTACTAGCGATGCACTTGTTACTACTAGCCACTTTAAGTCTTGAATCTCGCAGAAGGAAACGGAAAAAGAAATAACACTCTGTACAAAGGAGCTGACAAATCTGTCCAACAGGAACTCGTTATGGATGAACTTGAGAAAACTCGTTCCTACAGCACGCCGTCACATCACTGAGGGCAGGACACTGCACATCCACCAGGTCGAAGAAAGCAAACACATTTAGCAAAGGACTCCAGAATCAACTCCACGACATTTCATCAGGACTGAAAAGAAAAGAGCATGCCTGCTCTTGTGCTTGGGTGTGCACGCGCTGGCTGCTTTCTCACAAAACAACACCAAAACATAAGTGAGCGGGACACCACTACAACAGTTTTGAGTAGATAATGATAGCCATCACACCAGAAGTGGACCTTGAAGGGTGGCACTGGGAGAAACAGTGCAATAACCAGGCCGCGACAGAAACCTTGGGACATACCGTACCCTTGAGGGAGGGACAAGGGCGGGTGAAGAAAGAATGGACAGTTTAATCTGACAATGGCTGGACAGGAAGGAAGATAAACATTCAGATGGGTGCATGTGAGCACGATGCCTCCTGAAAGGTTTTGTAGCAACTCTCTCCCTTTGTTGTCAGAAAAAAAGAGCCAACGTTTCTAGCTGTAGGCATGTTGGGTCTGGGGAGAACTGCAAAAGGTGTGGCACGTTCGGCTGTGGCAGAAGTAGTTGGAGTTGCGAACTACGAGTACTGCGGCTCTGTGAGATCCTTTGTGATGGCCTCCATCCTACAAGCAATGGCCTCCAACCTACTGATGGCCTCCAAATATCCTTTCGTTGTGAAACACAACTATTGTTGAGACAAGTTGGTGCACGACTCTTGTTCTCTGTCTCTCTCTCTCTCTCTCTCGATAGGAATCCATAAGACCTTGGGGTGGTCACTGAGGACTGCATACTTTGTTCGGAAAAATGTACACAAGACGTTTTTTTTTTACTGCGCTTGCCTTAGACCAATGTCTGTAGCCGCAATGTACACAAGAAAACTAACAAACAAAATCAACCCAAACACAGGGCCTCAATGCACTTAAACCCTGCAGTGGGGGCGGCTCCGACTCTGACGGCTCTGCATGCGTTCGTTGTGTACGCGGCTTCTCGTTACGGTGATTCTGGACCGTGCAGGCCTTCAGGAACAAGAGCTCGCTCCTGCGTTCGTCCAATTCAGCAGAACTCGAGCAGTTTATGGAAAATCCAAGACACATGTCCGTTTATAACAGTACTATTTATGCTTTTCTCCGATTGTCTTCCCCCAGCTCCCTCCTTCGTGGCTTGAAGATTCTCCAAGTTGATTTGGGACTACCCGATTCAGTCTCAAAGAATGCTGGCGAGAGGCGGAACAGTCCACCGCTTCGGAAAAGCAGTCTTCATATCCGAGCTACATCACGAAGCAAACAATGCATCGCCGCTCCTTTTTGAAGAAATCAGCGACGACTTGAGCAAGTCTCTTCGGATCCATAGCAGGGCATGACAAACCCTAGCTTCAACAGACTCCGAAACTTCTGCAGCTAAAGTTGTCGTGGAATCTGAGTCCCGTCATCTTCGGCATACTTGCCAGGCTGTCAAGATGTGAAGAGAACTGTCAGCTTTGAACACATCAGCGGGAGCGGAGGCCAAGGCACAAACATTAATCAACCTGCTGATATGAACGGTGCATAATGGTAGTAGCGTTCTTGCTCCTAGTAGCGATGCCCTTTGTTCCTAGTAGCTTCTTGTTACTAGTAGTAAGGCCAGGAGCCCCTAGTAGCGTCCTTGCTCCTAGTAGCGATGCCCTTTGCTCCTAGTAGCGTTCTTGCTCCTAGTAGCGATGCCAGGAGCCCCTAGTAGCGTCCTTGCTCCTA